AATAACTTAAATTAATTATATACTATTTAAAAGATCAAATAAATATGCATCTATAGTTAAATTTATTACTTTTTTAAGTCAGTCACTCAAAAGATATACACTATAAACAAAAAAGTTTTAATTATTGGGACAATTTTTTGAGTCAGTGTATTACTGATATTATTGATAATGATTTTTACATATTACTGATATTACTGATATTATTGATAATGATTTTTATATATTACTGATATTACAGATATTATTGATATTACCGATATTACTGATACTATTTTTTCATATTATTGATATTACTGATAATAAAATTTTTTATATTATTGATATTACTGATAATATATTATCGATATTACTGACACTATAAATACGACATGCGATCTGATGCAGTCAAACTATCACCAACAGACTATGTTTATATTATGCAATATAAAGATGTAAAATCCAAACCTCTAGATATGCTTAGAGACAAATACCCTATGTCAAATACCCGTTTTTATCGGATATGGAAAGGAAAAGAGGTTTGTACAAACACTTGAAATTCATCTTTAGCCAATCCGGGGAATGATATTCCAATATCTGTAGTTGTGGGAGAGAAAAAAAAAGAGGAAATCAAAATCCAAGTCTACTCGCATTTCTGATTCGCCTTTTATTAATAAAGATTTAAATGCGGAAACATCCTCACTCTATAAGACAGAAAAGATAGGCAGAATTTTGGAAGCAAAAAAAGAAACTATACCACCTGTTATCTCGCAAGAGACTGAAGATGTTTTGGAATTATATAAGAGAAGCCAAAAAGATATAGAAAAGATTAGAGTAAGTGGTCGTACTCTTGCCTCTAAATTATCTGTTCCTTAGATTCGTAAGTGTAAAATCAATGTTTTGTTTTATAGCGGAGCTAATGTCTCTGACACATATCGAACACATAAATCATTATAATACCCAATTACTTCGGAAACTGATTGAATACTGGTGAATAATGCCTTTTCAAGTTCTTTTTCACGGTTTGACTTATTCTCACAATTTAAGCATTTTTTTTTAAATCCGAATTGTTAGAATCTAGACTAACACTGGCAGGAGCATGCCATTCCTCCAATGGTTTATTGCCATCCTCACTACCGTCTATCTTCTGGGAAATTTGATCAGATACCAAAGGCTTATTGCAAAGCAATGTGACTCCATCCCTATCATTCTGAGATGTGTTAGCGCAATTTACTTCGAGTTTGTTCTTGACCTCATGCATATTAATTGGAATAAAATGTTCCTTACCATTACATGCAAGTTTCAATAACCGTTTTGATGCGAGTAAATCATAATCATATTTGTCGAGTAATGGGTTAGGTAAAATTAACATTGGTTTGCGATATTTAACCACTGCAAAGTCAGAATGTATAACACAACCTGGAGCAAAGGTTACTGGTACATTATGTATGGTTCCAATTGATTCGGTATGGGTGGCAACTCCACTAAGCTTATGTTTTTCATCTGGATTTATTTTTAATTTTGCATGCTTAGCAATATCTTCTGTCATAATAGGGAAATTAGCAAGTGAATTGATTCCGCCTGCGGGAATAACTAGGCGGTTAATTTTACATTTCACAGTAGCAATATCTGTAGTGGAATCCTTTCTTTGAATAAAATCGATTTCCATAGGATCATTCAATATCTCTTCTTCTCCATCTGAATCAGGTATTTCTGGGGCTAGTTCTCGATAATTTGTAAAATCTGAATTCGTAATGGGTGGAATTATATTATTCGTAGAAGTTTTAGTAAAACTAAAGATATTGTTTTTAATTGTTTCTATAACCTTTGGATCATTAAACATAGCTAAAATAATTTTTCGGATTTGTGCATCGATAATTGTATCTGATTTCGTTTGTGATTTTTGTGAAGTATGTTGAATCGGAGATTCGAGACTCTGTCTCTTCTTTGAACTAGACCGCTTTTTAGATAATGATTTACCCTTCCGCTTTATTTGTTTTTTTTTTTTTTGTATTAGAAATATGTACATCATAACTATGATCGGATTCAACCTCAGACGAGGAATCCCCAGAATCGGAGTTATTATCTGAAGAATCATTATCGGAAGAGTATATATCTGAACCCGAATCTACAGCAACCTTATTAATACTGCCACTCTTTTTGGATCTGCTCTTGGACCTTTTCTTATGAGTACACTTGCGAGAATTATGTCCAGTTCTATTACAATTTGAACAATGATGTTGAGATGATTTCTTAACGACATTAACCTCTTTTGACATTTTCGCTAAATTTAATGATAATTTTGACATACCTTTAGTAATTTCATCTATATCATTGGTACTGATATCTTTATTCTTCGATTGTACCAGTTTCGCCAAAAAACATATCGGACAATTTTTTATAAAGATCATTGGTCAGAGATTCCATAATTTGACTGACTGAAGGAGTTGGATTTATAATATCTGCATGGATATATCTTTCAGAAATTACGCCATACCCATCTGGAGGTCTTTCTGACATATATTTATCCGGTACTCTAGGATAATCATCGGAATTAGATCGTTTCTGTTGAGATTGTTCCGGTATCATAGATTTATTTTGTAATGGACGTGAGCTGGTTTCTGACTGAGAAATTGTAGGTAATATATTAGCTGAAAAGCTAGCCTCTAGCCTAATAACTGTGACTTGATCAAAATTTGATTCTCCATGCAGGTTTGGAGTACGTTCTAACCACATATTTTTTAATACAATGAAAAATTCGTTAATACCTCTGGAGCATCGGACCTCATCCAAGTGAAAAGCTCAACTGGTAATTGACTTTTAAGAAATCCCAAGACTTGAGCATCATTATTGGGTACACCTAACAAAAGAGGTCGAATTCTA